TTCATTTTTCTCTGGAAAAATTTCTGAAATTTTCAAAATCCCTGGGGAATGAGGAGCACTCATTACATGGACTGACCTTTGCAGTTGCCATCACGTGGGAGGACGCGCCCGAGGAGCAGTTCCCCATCCTGCACAAGGACTTCAAGGTGCGGTGCAAGGTGACGGCGCAGCCCGCGCCGCAGGTGGACTGGATGCGCAACGGCGAGATCATCTCGACGGGCGGCCGCTACGTGGTGGAGACGGACGGCCTGACGATCCAGAAGCCGGCCGAGTCGGACGACGGCGTGTACACGTGCCGCGCCATCGTGGTGCAGACGGGCGAGCTGGCGCAGCGCGACATCCGCGTCGAGGTGCACACGCCGCCCGCCTTCGACACGCAGCACATGCAGCCGTCGACGCGCATCATCGAGGGCGACACGGCCACCATCTCGTGCAAGGCGCTCGGCAAGCCCAAGCCCACCTTCTCCTGGATCAAGGCCAGCACCCAGCAGAACATGGCGTCGGCGGACCGGTTCAAGGTCAACCCCCTGACCGGGGACATGATCATCAGCGGGGTGCGGCCCGAGGACGGCGGCGAGTACAAGTGCGTGGCGAGCAACAAGGCGAGCACCGTGGAGAAGACGGTCCTCGTCACGGTGCTGGTCAAGCCCAGGGTCATCGAGTTCAGGAACCTGTCGGTGCCCATCAAGTCGGAGGTGCGCATGGAGTGCAGAGCCTCGGGGAACCCCCTGCCGACCATCACCTTCAGGTACGTCAGCCGCGCACTCGTTAGCTCCATCGATGTAACATGGTTGCCACAACTCTGGAAAACCTTGAAAACCTGGAAAACTCAGGGAAACAAAAAACTGTCAGGGAAATCAGGGAAAACTCAGGGAAAATGAAAGAAAGTCAGGGAAATTTGGTCTGACTGGTCCCCAAACTGCAGTCTATTCGCTGTGTAGGTCAAATACACATTTTGACGTCCCAGTAGGGTATTTTGTCCGAAAATTTTTCGCGCTCGCTTCGCTCGCGGTCTTGTATTACAGTTAGGGGTATTTGTTTTTCGCAGTACTTCACCAGGAACGGTGCTTAAAACTCAAGGAAATTTGGGGAGAAATGGTCTGGAAATCAGGGAAAACTCAGGGAAAATGGAAATGAAAATTTTGTGGCAACCATGTGTAATAGGGCTGCTGGATTGTCTTAAGCTCAATTTTTAATTTTTGCGTCTAATTGTGGCGGGTTGCAGGAAATTGAATCAGCAGGCCCGACCGTACGTCCTTGGAAGGCAACCGACAGAGCCACGTATTGAGCTGACTTCCGTGGAGGACCCCACTCGCAGGGAAGCTGTGGGCACTCTGCGTATCAGCAATATTGGTCGTTATGATGACGGTCTATACATCTGCATTGCTTCAAATGAGGTGCGTACTTCTCCCTTAATTTGCTGACGTAATGGTTCAATTTTTTACAACATTTTTTTTCTTTTTGTAAATTTAAACTCAAGGGCGGTGAAGCTACGAAAAATGGACATCTTTCAATTGAGTTCCCGCCGTCCTTTGCGAGCACACCAGTGGATGTCTGGTCCTGGGGACAGAATCCTGTCAACATCTCATGTCTTGCAGAATCAATTCCTAATGCAACAATAACGTGGAAACTAAATGAGCGTGAAATTGATTTCAAAAGAGATCAGAATGTGTACATGTACAGTTCCGGACCTCAAAGTGTCATAAGGGTAGGTTAACTATTTTTTAAAAAACAAGAAAGAAAAAGTCTTACACATATTTATCAACAAATAATAATACTAATTTTGTTTAAATCCTCAGATTATACCGCGCCGTCGTGATTATTATGGTGTGTACAAGTGTATTGCAACAAACAAGCTGGGCACTGCAGAGACCACAATCACACTGAAAGAAGCCGTTCCGCCATCAGAGGTTCAGCAAGCTAAAATTCAAGCCATGACTGGTCAGTGAAATGTCGTTTTTGATTTATTGTCTTGGTTTTGTTTCCCTCTTTGTTAATACCTTAACAACTTTTCCCTTTCCTTTTTTCCTTTTTTGTTTTCCAATATTCGCAGCCACTACCATCACATTCAATTTTGTTGGCCCGCAAAACTTTGGTGGAAGACCTTTGAAAGCTTATGCTGTTCATTACAAAAAGTCACAAGACACATGGGATTATGCATTCAATAAGACCTGGCCGGCTGGTATGTCTATTAACCATGCTTCTTAGCTCTGGCTCAAAGTAATTGAAACATTCAAATTTACACATTCCAATTGTTTTGTTTACAGATTCCCCGTATGTTTTGGAGAAACTAATACCTCAAATGGAATATAACTTCCGCTTTGCCGCTGCTAATGAAGTGGGCTTCAGCAATTGGGCGGCAGGGATAACCATGCAGATGCCTCGAAGAGCAGCCCCAGAAGAGCCACGTGTTTTAAATCAAATTATTGAGGATGGTTATGTAGTTTCGCCTTATTCTGATAGAATGGAAGTACGCTGGAAAATACCTGCTGACAATGGAGAACCAATCGACAACTATCAAATTAAATACTGCCCAGTAAGCCCAGCATCCTTTCCTACTTAACTACCTACTTACTGTCAGTTTTATTGTCTTCCTAGAGTTCTCAAATTTTATATTGCTCTTTCTTTTAGGTACGGCGCGATATTTCTGGCTACTTTGATTTAACTGGAGAACCTTGTGGTGAAATGCCAATTTCTCAAGAACATTCCTCTGTTGAACTCAAATCGCTGGCACCAGATACATTCTACAGAGTGGAAATTCAAGCTCACAATATGATTGGTTACAGTATTCCAGGAAGAGCTGTCATTAAAACAGCACGCGGTAAGTTTACTTTTCCAATTATTTTGTGTGAACTGTTTTACTGTGTGTGGTTTGTAGGCCCTTGAGAATATTGGTGCTATTGCTGGCACAGCTGCTATTGCTACAGATATTGGTAATTTTCAAATTAAAGTAATTTAGGCTGAACAGATTGGATATTGCTCTCCACTTGAAAAAAAAAATCTTATGACATGCTCATCATCAATAGTATCAATATTATATAATTTCAAATTGTTGTTGTTTTTGTTGTTTTTTTTGTCCAAAATGAGACAAACACATTAGACCACTTACGGATGGCTACAGCATTACCCATTCAAAAGTCGAAAGTTTGATCTGCATATTTGCTTTCCTTTGTACCCTTCAAGAATAATTTACAGTTTTGATTGAAGTATTTTTGGTTGTGCATATATGCATATATGCTTCGAATGAAGCGAATCTGACTCGTATTTTTCAGATAGTCAATTCAATTGTTTGCCTGAGTATTGCACTAACATATACAGTGTTACATTTCTAATTTGGTAATTTGTTTAATCTGCTCAGCATGAATTAACATGTCGGGACTTTCTTTTACATTCATTCAAACACTTTTGCTGTTGTCTATCATTTTCTGGTTTTTTCATACTGGCATGAATGTGCTCTTGTTACATGTTTGTCTTCATTTTGGTCTAATTCTTTGAATTGTGTCTGAGTTTTTTTATGAACTGACACTGGCTCTCATAACATGAAATTGCAGTACATAGCAGCAAATTTCAAATATACAACCAGAATCCGAGATTGATTACAGGCTAACTATTTCATTTATGAAAATATGAGGTTTACATTTACAAAATTTTGTTAATTCATACCTCATGTAGAGCATGGTGTGACGTGCTTCAAGTGAATCAGTGCAAAGCTTTCCCAATTCATTCCAGGCTTCAAACTTAAAGCATTGCTGCATTTTTCATTGCTGTACTGTACTTTTGTTGTTAAATGCTGTTGTTTGCAAAGATTGAGTAACGCAATTGTAATACTTGAATTACTTCTTCTCTTTCCCCCTCTTTTTTTTATTTACTTTTTGTTGGGACTCTCTAGATTTATCAGCTCCAGGAATATACTACGGAGAGCACAACTATGTGACAGGAAGATCAGCATGTCATCAACTATCAGTGACTCTCATACCTCTATTTATTCTCACCTTCCTCACAAGTTGCAGTTGGATGCAGTAAATTTAGAGTTAGATCTATTGAGAAAAATCAGTGATATTACATAAACTGACTTTATGAAACAAATGTAGACTTTGAGTGTGGTTATTAATTCATCAAGAAAGAAATTGTGATGAAGCTCATAAGTGCAAGAAGTGGAAGACATCCGTTTTTGTTGTGGCTTTAATAGCCGATGGCAGTATTTTTGTTCACAGACTCTCATTTTATAAAGTGTAATTTAAATTCTTTGTATGGTACTATCTTAGTGATTGTAGCCATTATTGGTGATATTGGATGAAATGACCTTAAATATGATTTGAATGATTCTTCACAAAAAGACCAAGTATGTGAATTGAAGTGGATCAAGAAGTTGAGTGTACCATGAACCAATATAGTGATTAAGGAAGACAGATTCTGGGTTCAGTGGAGTCAGTAGGTAGTGGCGTATCACAGTAATGATTCATGATATCTATGCTAGCTTTCTTTACAATTTTAAACAACAATGCAATGATTTTCTCCTACCACACATTTGCATGCATTTTATTAATTATGCCAGCTGAAACGATTTTTTTCTGTCTATGTCTATCACAATATTTATACCTGCTATGTGCACAATATGTGTACATATTAACCAAATTCATCTTTCTGTGTGGTGTGCGCAGTTGCTTGGTCTATCAAGTACATTTTAATCAACATTCAAAATGTAAATGAAATTCTGCACTTCTTGCAGTAGTTACTAATTATGCACCCATTCGACATTGGTTTGCAGTTTAGTTTAAATGATTCGGGTTGCTGCACACAGAAAGAATAACAGATTATTCCGGCTGGCTTCAGTTCAGTTTTGCTGTTTTGCTTCAACCCTTTAAGATGACTGACAGTAAGTTCTGACTTTGCCAGCTCTCTGAAAAGCCTTTGACTTCTCCCAAATTTTGGCTGTAGTATTTTTTTGACATCCTCTATAGATATCATAGAAATCTCAACTGAATTTCCATCTTGATAGATATTGTTTTCATGGTGGTGGATATAACTCAACAGGTGTGGGAACAAACTACCTGCCTAGTACATATGGAGCAAAAATTTTAGTGATGCATGGTCATAAAGTAGTTTATGCCATTTTAAGTTTGCTTTAAAGTTTACTGTTGGGAATTGTGTCTTATAGTTTTCTAGGTAAGATGAAATATTTCCATACCACCTGAGATTTGTGGTGATTACTCCATAATTTATCCATTAATCTGGGTATATGTAATTCGGATTCCAACTCTTGTTGTTTGTTATTAAGAAGACTTTTGAATTATTTTTTTACTACTAGAATGTTATTAAGTTATTCTCTGGCTATAGTTATTGCCATCAATGTAAAACATTGATAAGGCTCAAAGGCTTGGCATATGTAAAGATTTCTTCTTATAGATCCCCGGTCCTTTTGGCTCTGCTTTGTAACGGCATGACTTTCAAAAGAAAACCAAATTCCTTTTCCTTAAACAGCTAGGATTTTTTAAAAATTCTTGCAGGTGTGTGGATGTGTTTGTGTGTATGTGTGTGTGTGTGTGTGTGAGCAAATATTTAGAATCCTATTGTTGTCTACCAAATGTGGAAGTATCTTAACTGTTTCTGAATTGCTAAACTTAACTTGGAAGCCTGTTTTTTTTTTGTTTTTTTTGTTTTTTTGTCCTTTGTCTCAGCAAATAGTCTGCCTTTTGGTCACAAACTTCTGGATGCTTTATTCTTTCATATGACTTGCTGAAGCCATTGATAATACAATTTTGATATTTTAAGTCAAGGGATCTTTAGTGATATACAGTATGTATGATAAGAGGTTATTGAATCTGAACATCGTTATTGTTGAAGTCATTTGCAGAGCTAGAAAAGTAACTCGCCTTATTCCAATTTCTTTGTTACAATTTATATTTTTATTAAATTTGGTGGTGATTGCTTGCAGTATATCACGCCTAGATTTCTAATGGTGAGCAACTTCATTATTCTATGATTTACCTAAACATATTTCAAAAGTGTTTGTAGTTCTCAAAGCTGAGTGTGAATATAGTTCTCTTGCTTTCAAAGTAATATTTACGTAAAGATCATGATCTTCCTTCAATTTATGAAGAAGAGTACTGCTCTTTTTTTATTGAAATAAGAGATACCTGTTTGTAAGCACATTCTGGAGTGATACAGTTGACCTTTTGCAGAAATCTATTATATTTCTAAACATTAATTAATAGGCAAATTTTGACAGACTGGTTAGATATCTAAGTTTAAGATAACCTATAAATGATGGAGTAAAAGTAATGTTTGTGATGTAGTGTTTTATATAGATATTTCATGTTCATGTTGTTGAAGTTTGAACTCAATCATTCTAAATTATAATTCGCAATGTGTGCGTGGATGGATGAATGGATAAATGGTTGAATGAATAATTAAAAGTATCAATGGATGAATGGATAGCAGTGTTTTAGCTGTTCTAGGCATAATATATTTCTGTTGAAGGTTTCATTATAATAATTTACCATACCTTCATTGATGTTTTTGCAGAGGAGCAACTGTTCACTTCAAGTCCTTTTCTCACAGACAGCTAGTTTATGCACTATAGATAAGGGGATAGAATTCACCACTCCTAAAGGTCTAAATTCAGTGTTGCATGATGTTGACTTTGTGACATTTAAAAACTCATGATACAAAATGCTTGCTTTGGGTGAAGTTTCTTCCTAAACTCTATCAAATTCTCACTATTATGTTAGTCATCATTCTCATTGGGCTGCTTATCGATTGGTGCAGAACAGACAGACAGTATCGGAAAGACTAATTTCAGTGCATAGCGTTGGTTTCTAAGAGAGAGAGGTCATACTCACGGAGACAATAATATAATCACTGTAGAACTCACACTGGAATTTGCTAAAATTAGGCGTGGGTAGCGATTTTATTTTGAAATGACTATCTCTCTGAGAAGAGAACTTTATTGTTTGTTCTATTCATATGTGTGCTCATAAGTTTGTGCTCCCTATCAGTTGATTGTTTTCTGTGGCTGCTGTTTTAATGAAGCGCAGGGAGTTAAATTTGCTTGCTGTCTCTTTTGAAAAGAATGTTGTTATAGTTTCTTATTGTTACATCTGTGAATGGTCCTTAACTTTCACTCTGTTTATTTTAGTAACTGGTCGTTTTAAGTAATGAATGAGTTTAAGTAACAACCTCCCATTTAAACAGTGGAAAGTATTTTAAAACTGCTGTATGTGAGGATATAATATGTACAAAATCAATAATTTTGGTATGAAAAGATATTGTACAGCATTAATTTTGGAACAAATGTACAATAAAAGTAATGATTGTGCCTGTACTTGAAGTCAGTGCATTGTTTTAAATGCTTTAAACCCCAGAAATGTTTCATCAAGTGAAGTGGATGACAGAACATTGTAGAGGTAAATATCATGCAATGTGACTAATTCTGTAAGTAACACCTAAATTTGGTTGCAGCATGCTAGAAAAAGCTTTTTTAGATTATTTTTTTTTTTTATTGCTTTGCATGTCTGTAGTGGTGGTGGCATGATAGTCTTAATCTTTTCTGTTTAACTAAATTTCTTCTGTTATCTCTGTAAAAAGAAAAGGGGATTATCTCCAAGCAATGGTCAAAAATTCACGCTAGTCATCTTGGCTTTTGCACTGAATGTCAGATTCACATAAAACTTACATCAGTCATACAGTGGTTGAGATTATGCCTGTGCTTTGGGTCAGAACATGATTCATACTGGTAGTAACGAAAGTTACAACAATAGAGCACGGAAGGTTCATGTTACAATCTTGTATGTGTTCTAGAGAACATTATTTTACTAGTCCAGTCCTTTGCTGCATCACTTTCCTTGCACAAAGAGACAGACACTTTTCTATTGAAGTATTCCTTTCAGGTGTTCCAAACTCCAGCATTTAAGTAAATGTGTCGTCTGCATCATGTCACCTGTCACATATGATACATATGACTATGTAGGTTGACTTAAAATTGAAGGGAACCACTCGCAATGATGTAAATAGTCCGTTTCAATATCATGTGATGATGCTTAATTTGGGATTGTAAAGACCTAAGTTTTTACTAACCAATAAGTTGATTGATTGATATTGGTATGTAATAGGAGAAATAACTCTTTTTGTTTCCTTTCCTTTCCAGGCTGTCAGTACCTTTAACAACTACTTGAAAATAGGTCATTGTCATTACGCTAATAATGTTGGTGGCGTTTGTTCTTGCCCTCGATTTCCTCCCAGTTACAAACTTAAGCTTTCTCTAAATGTGCACAATTCTTTTTAAAAAATTACATGAAAAGAAATAAATATTGGTAAAAAAAAATGGTCAAACAAAATTAAAAGTACATCTGTAATACACACACTTGAATGTAACTGTTAAAGATTGGAATTTAAAATATGCAGTTAGAGATTTTTGATCAATCAATGAGTTTGAAATGTCCCAGTACCAGTACTAGTATTACACAAAATGACTGGATACAGGATAACATTCCAAACATGTTCTTTGCAACCTTGCAGCTGCAGTGAATATGCATGCCCTAGAGTTTTTGTTCTTACCACAATCCTTTCTTTTTTAAAACAAGTTTATATTTGCTATAGACATAAAGACATCAAATACAATACATTTCTAAAGTTTTTTCCCTTATTTTCTTTCATTATAAAGCATGCATTCCTATGCCTGATGCCTCTGAGACTCAATGTAGGCAATAATCCTTGTAATTTGTCATTTATTAGTATTTTCTTGTGACTTAAGAATGTCACATTCAAGTTTTTCCCACCATGATGATTTGTCCATTCAATATGTGTGACATAGGCTTTTACCGACAATGCACCATCACACTAAACTCGAACTCCTATTTTGAAAATTTTAAGACAAAATTACTTATTAAGTGATGGTTTGTATTTGAAAGATCAGCTTGTACAAAAGATTGCCAAGTGTCTCATATTTTCAGTTGGTGTGTTATAAATGTCATGTGGAGACATGATCTCCAGAGAAATCAAATTACCTTGAATTGATGTCATTCATTTCACCGCATCAAACTTAGTTATCATCTTTAATTAATATTGATGTGCATAGTTTTAATTTTCTTCTGTTAATGTTAAGTTATTTTTATTTGGTGCTGGTTTACAGTGACAGCTCTATTGATTCCAGGTTGTAGAAACTTATCTGTTTAGAAATTTCGTGTCCTCTTAATGACTGAATTTTCTAAAAATTCGGCAGATCTTAATTTGGAATATCTTTTTATGTTTTTACAAAGTCTGTTTGAAAGGAAACATTCGACTTTCAAGCAACCTTTATAGTTTTTCCATTCCTTACCCAGCATTGATGTTCAAAGCATTTTGTACTAGATGCATGATAACCTAAACATCATTGTTTTGCCCTTGTACCGGTTGGGTTTTAATGAGCGATGTGTTCGCAGGAACAGATCCACATGTGACAGCAGCTGAGAGCCTCTTCATCATGAGTAGCGGTGTCATTGTGGCAATTGTTGTGGTATCTCTGTTGGTTCTCCTGCTCCTCATCGACCTCTTCTGCTTCTGTGTGAATTCCGCTGGTACGCAAACTACTTTATTGAAGACCTATTCTTTTTGCGGTATATTTGTTACTCTGCATGCCTTACATTTTCAAATATTTGCAGGACTGCTGATGCTAATGTGCGAATCCTTAAAGGGAAAACCAAAAGATGAGGACGCCAAGCTAGGCGGGTAAGTCTATACTGTCTCTTTAATCATTTTATTTATCACTTGCAGTCACTATTTAACATTTAGACAAAAATCATTTTCAAATTTCTTTAGCTTCCACTTATCACAAACTCCATCATATATTAATTTCTGAACAAAATTTTAGATAAGCTTATTGTTTTCACTAATAATAATATACATCCTGTTTTGTTCTTTCTTCTGTCTCTTCTGCAATATTTTCTGAACTCAGTTTTGTCATTTAATCTGTGGTCCTCTGTAAATTTCTTTCATTTCTTTGGGTTCATGGCGTGCTTTTATGGTGGTGGTCTAACATTGGTGTGTGGGTGGCAGCTTGTATGGCTGGCGGTTTCCCCTTCCCTATTGCAGTAACAAAGAGGGCAGCTCTACGAATAGCTACGGCTCTGGCTCTGAGGTGGACAAGCTACCCCCCGATGCAAGTCTTTACATGTAAGGATGTCTCTGCATGAAAATGCTTTCATATGCTTTCTGTCTGCGTAATTAATGTAGGCACTTTTTAAGAGAAATGAGAATGTACATAGTTACTTTCTTCAGTGGGATATTTTCATACATGGGACATTGCATTGCACATAGTTGTTCACACATTAAATGTAAGAGATTTGCTGCACTCACCAATTTTAAGTTCAGTTGTCCTAATGATAGAGACCATTTTTTAAAAGCTTCAACAATTTGTCAATCTAAATGTACCCTCACCAAAATCTCTTATTCTTTTACTTTGGATCAATTCTGATGAGTGCACTATCAGCATAAGTGTTCAACTGGCAATAGAATTCTACATATTTCACAACATGCTGTTGGAATACTTTCAAGTCGCTTCCAAGTGTAAAAGAGGAAGTCCATTTATTTTTTATCGGAGACAAGGATTTTGGGTTATTGCCATTTGAACATTTCTGGTGATAGATAGCAAGATGTTTTTCATGGTTTGGGGGTGGCAGTCTTTACAACCTTACAGCCCTTGCCTGTTTTTTGTTTGTTTTGTCTTTTCCCCGAGCACACTTTTGTATCTTTATTTTTATCTCTATTCATTGTTGCAGTGAAGAAAAGGAGCCATTGAAAGAGATAAATGTCATGAATGGAAAGGATAAAATGACTATTGAGATCATGCCTATGATGCAAGACAATAAGTAAGTACCACATCCAAAATTAGCTTATTTTGTACTAGTTAAGTTTTTGAAAAACAATCATTTTTGACAATACGTTTTCTTTACAATTTTAGCTTAAAGAAAGAAACAATGGTTGATTATGACTTCAAAAATTCCATTGCTAAAACTGGGTTTGTTGGAAAGGATTCAGCAGTTTAATTACAAGTTACGTTTTATCTATAAAAGAAAAAGAAAACAACGTTTACTATGATACATCTTGCCATTCTTTGTTTGAAGCTATTTGATCTTTCATTTGAGTATCTCATACTTGAATGTTTGACTTTACAAGTCTGCCCTGCAGCATGGTGAACTAGTAACAGTTCTTCCCTGTGCTGGTAGTGGTCGTCAACAACTGTCCTAGAAACTTAAAATTTCTCTATCAGTGTTAATTATAGTACAGCTATCAATTAATGAATTTGTAGTAATGAACATCACAAGTGTGACTCCTATTAATTACCATTGATGTGAATCTAAGGATTGAATTTTCACTCTAAATACCCAGTAATTGTTAAATAGACCTCTTCATATTTTCTTTGCTGTATTGTTGCAAGTGAATTGATGGTGAATTACAGCAACATTTTTCTTAGAGGTACTGTGTAACCGTGTAGTCACAAAGAGGTTTTGTAATTACTATTTTTCTTATTTTTAAGTACTGCCAGTCAATAGGTTTCATGTTTATTTTTATGTTATTTTTATCATTAAATCAATTTATCGTACTTAATTGCATTTAAGTTCTGTCTGGCATTTATGCAGAAAGCAACATCATGACTGATAATTTTTATGGACTCTTTTCTGGTTGATTTTTATGTTTTTCCATAACAGTATCTAAAGCACTGAAGATTATTTGGTTTTATTAAATTATGACAATGTGACGACTATGCTTGTAAGGTAGTTTTAAATATTCAGCATATTTGGTATTACTTTTTGAAGTCATTGGTATATTATTTTGTACCAAATGTCTTTATATTTTGGGCCAAGCTACATAACTAGAATTCCTGAGGAGATATGTATCTTTTTTATCCACAGTGTGTGTTAATAAATGGAAGTAAGTGATCTGCTTAGTAGTATGTAATTAACTTCTAAATTGCTTTAGATTGATTGCATTTGTAAGGGAATAGGGAACAATGTAACTTGAATGTTTGTGTTTTACGAATGCCTAAGCATCTTGTTCTGGATAATTTTATTTCAACCTTTTTACATTATTTTTAAAACACTTGGTTCATTTTCCATGTTAGTGCTAGAGCAGCTTTATTACTTTGAAACTTATTTCCATGCTACACTGAAAAGCTGAAATCAAGATTTATGTAACTTAAAATTTGAATTTATGGCTTAGACTGTACTTCATGTGTGTTACTATCCCAGTGGTCCACCAGATTAAATTTTTAACTCTTGCATTTTTCTGACCTTTAGATTGTAAGAAATCCAAGATATGATTGTACATGACTGACTAGTATTAAAGGAGGCATTGTTAACTACTCACAGTCTAAAAAGTTGTAGTCAAGAATTATCGTCAACCCAATCTATGCCCACAATTTCAGAATGAAGCAGTTAGTTTGGCCTTGCTGCTTATGACTTGCAACTCTTTTTCAATGCCCTCAACATAACATGGACTTAAGTCGTCTTTCAAGAACATTAAACTGCATAGGTGTGAGATAAGTCTGCTATTTCTAATTGTAGTGTTTGTATTATATATAAATTTAAATTATTACTATTATTATTAAAGCTCGTGACAGGATTGAAAGACAATGTGATAGTATAACTATTGTTCTTACTATATATTACTATACCAACATGAAAGCTTCCTGTAAAACCACAAGATAAAGCTTGAGCTTTTATTTAGAAAACATTGGTACTTCAGGCTAGCTTTTTATGTATCTACTTCATAAAATTTTATATTCAGCAGTATATAATGCTAAATAAACATGTATACAATGCTCCAAAACAGTTGTCGTTTTCATACCGAACCCAACAAAGACACAGAGAATTTGTCTCGGCCACACCACTACCATGAGGTGAAGGTAGAGGGGGGCTGTCAAAATAAGATACGGCTTGGCCAACCGACCGACCGACCGACCGTCAACCTCCGAACGACCAGGACGACTGAAATATCGTGTTCGGGGGTT